TAAAAAAAAACCATAACATGCTGATAATATTTTTTACATGCTTATTTTTATATTAAAAGCACACGATTATTGATTCATATTTTTAAAAAATAAAAACATTTCATGTTTTTTAATAAATTGAAAAGTGTTGAAAAAATAATTTAAATTTCAAATAAATCGAATAAGTAAAAATTTAAAAAATTATTTTAGAAATTTGTAATATTTTAGATATTATTTTTTTTTATAAATTTTTATCAATTTATTTTGTAATTCTTTTTATTATGTAATTTTTTTTATTGTTGTAATTTTTTTATTATGTAATTTCTTTTGTTTTTTATTCATATTTATATATTATCTATAATAATTAATTTTTTAAAAATTTATCATAAAGTATAATGTGAGTTGTCAAAAAGTGTAGTATGAGTTGTAAAAAAGTAGGAGTGCTTATAAGCAATTGTCATTGGAGCAAAAATTGTAAAAATATAGTATGAGTTACTTATGAGTGACGTGGCACAATGGAACCCATTTAAAGTGGTTGGGCGGAGATGCTCTTAGAAAAGAAAAGAAGAAGTGGCACGTGGATAGCTTATAGTTGAAGGAAGCTTTGTGGTGGGGTGCCACGTACGAGAACACTCTCCTTCCACTCTCTTCTCCACCCTTCTTTCACCTTTTATATAACTGTTTCCCCTGTAACCTTGCTCGTTGTCGTTGCAAACATGGGCGAAGAAGTTAGGGTCACCGCTTCGCACAACCCAAACACCGTAAACGACGATGAGAAGCTCGAATTCGATATTTACCCTTTGAATTGTTACTATTTTGGATCCAAAGATCCTATTCCCTTCAAAGACCCCACCCTCTCTCATCGCCTTCTCAGGTTTTCTCTTTTTCTTCCAATTTTATATATATATATATAAACCCCAATCTGAGTCATTAAAAGCTTTCAGTTGTAATGAAGACTGCACATGGTAGAAGAGACCTTGACCAGGATTTCCTTTGAGATAGCGAAGAACACGTGTAATTGCCATGTAATGAGAAGTGGAAGGAGAAGAAATTTGTTGACTTAATTGTTGCACAGCAAATGAAATATCTGGTCTAGTTGTTATGAGATATAAAAGCTTGCCAACAAGCCTTCTGTAACCAGCAGGATCAGCATAAGGAGTACCATCTGATTGTGAAAGTTTGTTGGTTTTCACCATAGGAGCTGGAGTGGGCTTAACTGCAAGAAAACCAACATCAGAAAGTAAATCTAATGCATACTTTCATTGAGAAAGATGAATGCCAAGGTGTGACCGGGCCACTTCTAAACCAAGAAAGTACTTGAGGTGACCAAGGTCTTTGATCTTAAATTGAGCATCTAAAATGCCCTTTATGGAGACAATTTCAGATGAATCAGTGCCACCAATGATTAAATCATCAACATAAACAAGAATCATAGTAAAATGATTATTAATGTGCTTAGTAAATAGAGAGTGATCATTAGGAGATTGTTTATAATTCATGGTTTGAAGAAAATTAGATAATTTGGCAAACCATTGCTTGCTAGCTTGCTTTAAGCCATACAAGGATTTGTGTAATTTACATACAAGGTTAGGCTTGGGAGAAGTTAAGCCTTGTGGGATTTGCATATATACTTCTTCATTTAAATCCCCATGAAGGAAAGCATTATTAATGTCAAGTTGATGAAGTTCCCATTTTTGGCAAGAAGCAATAGCAAGAAGCATTCTCACAGTAGTTATCTTGGCAACAGGAGCAAAAGTATCAAAATAATCTAATCCTTCAATTTGATTGTACCCTTTTGCCACCAAACGAGCTTTATATCTTTCAATAGTGCCATCAGATTTATATTTTATTTTATAGACCCATTTAGAGCCAATAGGTACCTTACCAGTAGGCAAATTAACTAATGACCAGGTCCCATTTAGGCGCAAAGCATCAAGTTCACTTTGCATAGCCTTAATCCAATGTTCAGATTTAATGGCTTCTGAATAGTTCTTTGGTTCAATTAGAAAGGAGATAGTAAGAGTAAAATGTGAATGTGCAGGACAAAGATTGCTATAAGATAGAACAGTGCTAAGTGGGTACCTAGCATCTTTAGAGATAGAAGTGTCATGACCAGTTAACAAATTACAATGATAGTCGATGAGATAGGCGGGTGGATATTTGGTTCTAGTTGATCTTCTGATAATGGAAGGGGCAGCATCAGGTGAGTTGCACTCTAATGGAACTTGAGACTCATCATGATGGTTTATGTTGTTATTATGATCATTAGAAATAACATCAATGTTGGTATTATGTGTGGAAACAGGAATGTCAGTAAATGAGAAATCAAAATTGCTAGTGTTAATCATATCATGATCAAGATCTGGAGCACTAACTTTGTCATGAAAAGGAAAAACATCTTCATAAAACAAAACATTCCTGGATATAAAAATAGCAGTCCAAAGACTCAAAATAAGAATCCCTTTGATTTGTGGCATTTTAGACTTGGTCATCCATCTTACCAAGTTCTAAAAATTGTGAAGGAACATTCTCCTTATGTTGAGTTCAATGACAATATTGTTTGTGATTACTGTCACCTTGCTAAACAATCTAGACTGTCTTTTCCTACTAGTAATTCTAAATCATCTTCTTGTTTTGAACTAGTTCACATAGATATTTGGGGACCTATTGGTGTTACTTCTGTTCATGGACATAGATTTTTCCTTACTGTTGTGGATGATTTCTCTAGACATACTTGGACTTTTCTTATGAAATCCAAAGCTGAAACCAGAAAAATTATTCATGATTTTGTTGCTTTAACTAAAACACAATTTTCTCATGCATGATTTTTATGCTCAACATGGGATCTTACATCAAACTTCTAGCATAGAAACTCCACAACAAAATTTTGTTGTGGAAAGAAAACATAGGCACATATTAAATGTTACTAGATCTCTACTTTTTCACTCTAATTTACCTAAAGTTTTTTGGAACTATGTTGTTAGCTATGTTGTGTATCTTATTAACAGGTTACCCTCTCCTGTTTTAAACAATTGTTCTCCCTTTCAAATGCTCTATGATCAATTACCTACCTTATTGAATCTAAAGGTATTTGGTTGTCTTTGTTTTGCTGGTACATTATTCCAAAACAGAAATAAACTTGATCGTAGAGCCTCTAAAAGTATTTTTCTAGGCATCAAGCATGGTACTAAAAGTTATCTTGTGATGGATATATGTACTAGAAACATTTCTATATCCAGGAATGTTTTGTTTTATGAAGATGTTTTCCCTTTTCATAACAAAGTTTATGATTCTAATCTTGATCATGATATGACTAACAATAACAGCTTTGATTTCTTATTTGCTGACAATCATGTTTCCACACATAATACCAACATTGATGCTATTACTAATGATAATAATAACCACATAAACCATCATGATGAGTCTCAAGTTTCATCAGAGTGCAGCTCACCTGATGCTGCTCCTACAACTATCAGAAGATCAACTCGAACCAGATATCCACCTGCTTATCTCACAAACTATCATTGTAATTTGTTAACTGGTCATGACAGTTCTATCTCTAAAGATGTCAGGTATCCTTTTCACAATGTTCTCTCTTATAGTAATCTTTCTCCTAAACATTCACATTTTTCTCTTACTGTCTCCTCCCTAATTGAACCCAAGAACTATTCAGAAGCCATTAAATCTAAACATTGGATTAAGGCTATGCAAAATGAACTTGATGTTTTGCATCAAAATGGGACTTGGTCATTGGTTAACTTGAGGTGACCAAGGTCTTTGATCTTAAATTGAGTATCTAAAATATCTTTTATGGAGGTAATTTTAGATGAATCAGTACCACCAATGATTAAATCATCAACATAAATAAGAATCTTTTGCATTCAGCTATGCTGCCCGAGGAATGCGTACTTGTGTCCAGGCTGTTTTGCTGGTTCGTTTCATCTTTTTTTTTTTTTTTTTTTTTTGAATTTTATGATGAATAAATGTAATTTCTTGTATAGCTAAACGTTATTTTGATTTGAGAACATAAATGTTGTTGTACCAGGTTGAATTGTTCAAACATCCGCATTTGTTGTTGTTGCAAGTAAGAAATTCCATCTATAGTCTCCCCGGTGGCCGATTAAGGCCAGGTGAATCAGGTATCAGATGAAGCTCAAAGGTTGAAATTCAAAGCTTTGGGAGTGTTTTTGTGGAGATTAAATTTTGTGAATTTGCAGATACTGATGGGTTGAAGCGTAAGCTGGCAAGGAAGCTTTCTGTTGAGGAAGATGGGGATGGGTTAGAATGGGAGGTATTAAACTTGTTTTATTTAGTTGTGAATTGCAACCTTACATTGTGTAGATTGTAGAGCAGCTGAACTGTGATTTACTTGGATTAGGTGGGTGAATGCCTTGGAATGTGGTGGAGGCCTGATTTTGAAACGTTACTGTATCCTTTCTTGCCACCTAATGTAAAACAGCCCAAGGTACATATTTCCGATGGCATGTTTGTGCTAGTTCTGATAGGAGATGTCCTAGTTTCTTAGTCTTGCTTTGTGATGTAGGAGTGTACGAAAGTCTTCCTTGTGAAGCTGCCAGCCAGTCGAAAGTTCATTGTGCCGAAGAACATGAGGTTGCTTGCAGTCCCATTGTGCCAAGTTCATGAAAATCACAAGGTACAGACTAAGAAAATCTGTTTGTATGAAAAGTCTATAGGCTGTTCTGATAAGTGATATGATTAAGGGGTCGTCTGGGAATACTTCTCTAGAAACATTTCTAAGTGAGAAAAATAGGAACTAAAAATGAAATAAGTTTTTTCATTTGTTATTAGCTTATGCATAAACGAATTTGACAAGTTAGTTTATTTTTTCTCTTAGAAGTATTTTTTAGAGAAGTTTAGTTAAAGAGGTCCTAATCCTTCGCTGTACTATTTGGAAATTAGTATATGTGGCTAGTGTGATGTTTACCTATTTGAGTTCATTTATGTTTATAAATTGAAACCATACTCTAGGATAACATGGTCTGAAACTATTCAAGGATATAACAATCCCCCCCCCCCCGCCCCCCCCCCCCCGCCAT